CCCGCTCGGGCTGGCTGCGGGCAGACGTGGGATCCGAGGCAGCTGCGGATCCCATGAGGCTGAAGTTGGTTCTTTATTCCCAGTTCCTTATTCCCGATTCCTTATTCCTGGTTCCTTTTTCAAAGCTAATCTAGACTCAATAAAAACGTGTTATTAATGAATTACACATCCTGAAGAGAGAGAATTTCATTAGCTACACACGTACTAATTAATATATAAAATAATATCTCACATCAAGTACAGCGCCCTAAACAAATGTCAGATTAGGATGGGATTATGGGGCAAAATGCTTCTCGGGCCATCCCAAATTCGGTGCTGATGCCACTGGGGGACTGTCCCAAAGAACCATGACCACAGTCCCACCCCGCCCAAAGCACGGTTTGGCTATGCCAGGCTGCCAACTAACAGCCCCCATGCCCACCATACTAAGTATAATGGCTTGAATAAGGAACTGGCTTTTGAGCCTGGATTATGTCTAGAAATTCTGCTTGGGCCACCCATCAGAATACCTCTGCGCGACTGGGGGACTGTCCTGGACATCTGTGACCAGAGACTTGCCCGGCCCAAAAAAGCAGTTTGGCTGTGCCAGGATGCCAACAGTGTCCCAGCCACTGCGCTAAATTAATGGACCCGAATAAGGAATTGGATTATGGGCTGGGATTACACCCAGAAATCCTTCTTGGGCCACCCCAGGCCACACCTTGGTGCCAGCAGGGGACGCTTCTGGACATCTCTGAGCAGAGACTTCCCCGGCCCAAAGTGCGGTGTGGCCGTACCAGACTGCCAACCGACAGCACCCATGCCAGTGTGCTAAGTATCTGGACCCGAATAAGGAACTGGATTTTGGGCCGGGATTATACCCAGACATCCTTCTTGGGCCACCCCAGACCACACCTCTATGCCACCAGGGGACTGTCCTGAACATCTGTGACCAGAGTCTTGCCTGGCCTAAAGTGCGGTTCGGCCGTGCCTGGCTGCCAACAGACAGCACACCAGCCACTGTGCTAACTGTATGCACCCGAATAAGGAACTGGATTTTGGGCCAGGATTATACCCAGAAACCCTTCTTGGGCCACCCCAGACCACATCTCTGTGGCACTGGGGGACCTACCTGGACACAGAGATGTGGTCTGGGGTGGCCCAAGAAGGATTTCTGGGTACAATCCCAGCCCCAAAAAACAGTTCCTTATTCAGGTCCGTATATGTAGAACAGTGTCTGGGGGATGGTGTCAATTGGCAACCTGGCACGGCTAAGCCGTGTTTTGGGCTGGGCAGATCTTTGGTCAGAGACGTCCAGGAGAGTCCTCTGGTGCCACAGAGGTGTGGTCTGGGTGGTCCAAGGAGGATTTCTGGGTATAATCCCAGCCCATAATCCAGTTCCTTATTCGGTTCCATATACTGAGTCCAGGGCTCTGGTCCTGTCTGTTGGCAGCCTGGCACGGCCAAACTGCATTTTGGACTGGGCAAATCTCTGGTCAAAGATGTCTATAAGCATCCCCTGGTGGCACAAAGACATGATCTGGGATGGCCTAAGAAGGATTTCTTGGTATAATCCCAGTCCAAATCTAGTTCCTGATTCAGTTCCATGTATTTAGCACAGCAGCTGGGGTGCTGACTGTTGTCAGCTTGGCACGGCCAAACCGCACTTTGGACTGGGCAAGTCTCTGGTCACAGATGTCCAGGACAATCCCCCGGTGCCACAGAGGTAGTCTGATGGGTGGCCCAAGCAGAATTTCTAGCCATAATCCCAGCCTGAAAGCCAGTTCCTTATCCAAGCCATTATACTTAGTATAGTGGGCATGGGGGCTGTTATTTGGCAGTTTGGCACAGCCAAACTGTGGTTTGGGCCAGGCGGGACTGTGGTCATGGTTCTTTGGTACAGTCCCCCAGTGGCATCACAATGAAATTTGGGGTGGCCTAAGAAGTATTTTGCCCCATAATCCAGTCCTAATATAACCTTCATTTAGGGCTCTGTACTTGATGTGGAATATTATTTTACATATTAGTTAGTAAATATGCATAGCTAATGAAATTCTCTCTCTTTAGGATATGGAATTCATTAATAACAAGTTTTCATTGGGTCTAGATTAGCTTTGAAAAAGGAACTGGGAATAGGGAATAAGGAACTGGGAATAAGGAACCAACTTCAGCCCCATGCGGATCCCCGTGTGCCCTGAGCACACGGGCCCCAGTCTTGTGCAGGAAGCAGCCGCCGCAGAGCGCACAGCGCAGCCCAGAGCTCTTGCCCTGCTGGAGCCCCTTCCCGAGGCTGAGCAAGTTCCTGGAAGCAGCTGGGGAAGGCCCCGGTGTGGGGGCGATTCCACTGCCAGGCTGAAGGTGGTTCCTCACCAGAGCTCATGAATTAGGCATGCTGAAGAGCTGGAATTTCATCAGGGATGTACACTTACTAATAACATCATAAAATAATATCTTATAAAGTGCACAGCCCTGAATAAAAAACTGGGATTACGGGGAAAAATCCTTTTTGATTCACCCCAAGCCATACATCTCTGCCATTGGGGGCCGTCCCAAAGAAGACAGGGCAGTCCTGCCCACCCTGACGCTTTGTTTTGGAGTGCCAACCTGATAAGCCACAGGCCCCAAATAAGGATCTGTGCTTCCACTGGATTGTATGGCTTGGGGCGACCTGACAAGGATCTTTACCTGTGATCCCAGCCCAAAAACAGCTCCTTATTGAGGACTATGTCAATAGCACACAGGCTCTGCCATCAGGGGACTCTCCCAAAGAAGACTAGCAGAGTCCTGTTACTACCTCAGTCACTTTAATAAAATAAATTCTAAGTACCTTTAGATTTTGGCATTTAATTGGCGGGGGGGGGGGTTATTCACGGAAAAGTGAGAGCTCCCCCTGTCCCCTTAGCTCACCAGGATGCAGGTCCAGGCCCCTCACTGACCACCCACAGCCCCCTGCCCTCACCAGCTCTGCTGGAGGGGGCCCCCAGCTGCCAGGGCTATGGGACCAGGGACCTGGGTTTGCAGCCCCCTACCCCCCCACACAGCAGTGACTGAACCCTGGCTGCTGCCTGTGGGAGGCAGCAGCTCCAGCAGCCCCATTGGGGAGTGGAGCCTAATTTAAAAACTCCATCATAGTAATGCCAGCTCTCAATCTCACCAAGTTTGTGGAAATATAAGAAATGGTTGCCAGCGTTGTACATTACTGCAACTACTTTGTACCTGCAATGACAAAACCTTTGTTTTAGCAAGCTCTGATAAATTTGCAAATATGTCTGATGTTCTCTATTGAATTAATCAGGATTGATGACATATTTTAACTAGCAACATTCTGTCTACTTAAATAAAAAGACCTAAATTGCAGGATACAAGAAAGGGATTATGGGGTGGGGAAAGGAATAGGGCTCTACTGTTGACCTGAGGGGCGTGTAGCACACAGTAGGGAGCACTACTAGGCAGAGCTACCTGCCTCACTGTGCCAGGCCAAAACCACACTTCAGGAGTCTCCCACGGGGGTGCCTACAATTGGCTGTCCCGCTTCCTGGAGAACACCCGCAAGCCTGGGGTAACGGTGCCACCACCCGGGCATTGGTGTCTGTTAGGGATCTGTGCAGACACAGATCCTGACAAGCCTTGGGGGTGCTTTGCCCACTGGTAATATCTCTGGGTGCCTCTTTCAGCCCAAAGCATCCCAGGATAACCTCAGGTAGGAATGAGGGAACATAAACAGACAAGCTCTGCTGGTCGGGCTGGGAGCAAAAAGGCTTGCCTCTTTCCCCTCTGCAGCAATACAGCAAGGCACTCTGTAACCCAATACCTTTATTGGGGGGGGGAGGTAGAACAAGGAAGTCAGAATACACTTTGAGCAAGCATAAGCAATCAGTCTTATATAGCCTTGGACATTATCCTTTTAACATGTCTGCCTAGACAAATCCTAACTCCTGGCTAGTTTCCAAGTTTGAGAACAAGGAAGACAGAATACACTTTGAGCAAGCATAAGCAATCAGTCTTATATAGCCTTGGACATTATCCTTTTAACATGTCTGCCTAGACAAATCCTAACTCCTGGCTAGTTTCCAAGTTTTTACTTACAGAAGTTCATCCAGGCTGCAGCCTGGAGGCACTTTGCTTGTGGCTTTTCAAAATGCCTGCTGGAGGAAGAAAGCACTTCCCCCTCCCCTTAGGAATTTATGCGGCAGGGTCAACTGGTTGACCGGCCTGAACCAAAAAGAAAGCAAGTGAGAGAGAGCGGAGTCCGCCTGGAATGACCCAAAGGAGGGGCAGAGAGACGGATTTCTTCACAGGGCGTGTCTTAATCAACTGATTAATATTTTTTAATTTGAGTAAGGCCCTTAACCAGCAGGAAGCACAACCTCTCTTGAAAGAGGTGGCTGAGTAGAATGTATCCTATGGGTACTTGCTGGCCCAAGCTGACTTGCTCTGGGCTTTGGGCTCTTCAGAGCAAGCTAGAAGCTCGGCTTGGTTTTCTGGTTAAATAAATTGTTGGATGCACAAAAGGTGATTCAACAAAACTAGTTATTATTAAAGACTGAACAATAAACAATTATATACAACTTGTAAACAAGACAAAAGGGACAAAGAAGAGAAAATACACTGAAGAGAGAAAGAGGATACTAATACGTTATCAAAACTTGCTTGAAGCAGCAACTGGGGCTAAATATGCATATAGTTTTATTTCAACTTACATAATGTCATCAGTTAATCCTTACACTGACAATTTATTTAATGTCATAGAAATCTCTGGTAGAAAAACCAAGGATGAAATTTTAAATTCTTCTGTGATCAAACTTCACTGCAAGTGTTATGAGTAAGATGAGGGCTTGGAGCTGTGATGTAAGTAGAGAGTAGTCATTCTGCCAAAGCACAAAATGCCTTGTGCTTGTAGTTCAAGGGTGGGCAATTATTTTGGGCAGAGGTATGGTAACCAATACCTCAAAGCATCCTGTTTGGCCACTCAAGACCCATCACATTTAATTGCCAAGTTAATCAAAGGCTGTGAAAAATACAAGTCTTCACACCTAGATAAAACCCAAAACAGGAGCCAGGAAATTTAACAATTGTAATATGTTGGTCACCCTTTTCCTCCATTTTGTTTGGACTTTAATTGGCCAACCACCAAGGAAAAATGCTTTGAAGCTATACAATTAAAACAGTATAAAAAGCAAGATAGAACTGCCAGCAAGGTGTGCGGTCCAAAAAATATCAAGAAGCCACCCTGCATTTAGCCCACAAATGAAGGCTGTAAGAGTGGACCAGCTTCCCTGCCTGCACTGGTGAGAAAACACTGCTGCAGCTAAGTATGTACTAGGACTTCATGTAATGGCTCATTTTATATTGGGAAAGTCTTTTTCTGTCATTTAGTTTTGTAAGTTGTTGGTAGTTATTAAAACAAGCCTTTCTGCTATTAGTCAATCAAGTGTTGTGTCAATTCTTAAAGCACTAGATTTTAAGTGCAACAGGCTCTCCTGCCTCGCTACCCCCTACCCCACAAGTGTCCTGCTCATGCAACCCCAGAGACTGATTGGAAACTCAACCCCTATGGTGCCTTTTACCAGACTAGACTTCCAGCCCTAGGTTGGTAGCCAGTGGATGAATGTTGTGCTGGCTGTGATGCCCTTCCCCCTCACTCCATCAAACAGATACCTGGCTTGGTCGGCCCTCCTTCTCTCTGCCCACACATTCTCCATTTTCTCCTGGTTCAGCATCCTTCTTTCTGGCTGGTCATTCAGGTGAGGGGCAATCACACCTCCATCAATGCATTCCCCAAACCCTGTCTGCACTTTTGTTAAATTCTCACCCATGAGAGCAGCTACATTAGCCTATCAATTTCTCCCCAACCCCTAGGGACTCAAGCAGAGTGGATTCAGGATCAGACATAAGGTACCTAATTCCACCTAGATGCTTAATAGGTGAGACAGGACCTGGCCTGCTGGCTTGCATTTGGTGCTGGTGCTGGGCTGTGGTTCTGAGGCACCCCCTATGCATTGTGTTCATCTCCCTGTGATGGGTGCCTAAAGGTCACATGATGAAACACTCAATGTCATAATGCCCGGACCCTTCTGACCTAGGTCTTATTCCCTCTGGGAATGCGGCTATAGGGAATTGGGGTGAGAACTGAGCTGGAATTTGTAGAAGTAAACTTGGACACATCCTCTTGTGCAACTCAGACATCAACATCTCAGAAGAAGTGACCTGTGGGCACCCAGTCCTGCAGACAAGCCAAGTACTTCCTGAGGACTCTTACTGCAAAGGTTGAACCATTTGGCCATGACCTTTGCCACAGCCTCCTCACATGTATATGGAACCGTACATGACCTCTATTACAAAACCTGTGGCTGGATCTGACCAGCATGTGTGACCGTGGGGGACTGGAACAAGTGTGGTAGGGGCAGAGGCAGGGTGGCAAAAATTGTTTAGTCCTGGTGCCAACCTGGACTGAATGGGGCAGGGCCTTCTGGAGGAGGATCAGCAGGGAAGGTTTTTGACCTCAACCAGGGGAGCAAACAAGAAAGGTGATTGCCTGAATTTTCAGGGGCAGTAGGTGGGGGAGGGCAGGGCACAGGGACAAAGTGATTCACTACTGGTTATAGCCACCCTACTAAAATCACATCCCTGAAGTATAGCTAATCCTGGGATTGGAGCCATGCTGCCTCTGCATTTGCTGTAGGGCTAAGAGGGAGGGTGCTGCAAAAGGGAAGCAAGGTCCATGGGCTGAAGCACAAAGCAGAAGACAGAACCAGTCCTCCCTCCTGCATCTGTCCTCAACCTGCAGTCAGTGGTGAGGGAGGGGGCTGAGGAGAGACCCAGACTGCTTTGGCTCAACAGCCATCCTCCTTCACCTGAGCTGGATCCAGATGAAACCTGGCTGTGGTTAATTGTGAACAAAAGCAAAGAGTTTGCCCTTTTAGCTTCTTCCCGTTCCTGCATGTGCTGATTGAACTATATCCCAGCAGGATTTAGGATGAGAGTGCAGGGCCCACAACATCCAGGGTGGGGAAGACACAAGAGTCTGTAGAACCCAGCAAAGAGGGATGACACAGCCTCTCCCCCCTCTTCCCCAGGCTCCAGCCCTTGAACCTAAAGCTGATGTTCACAGTGGAGAGGGGCTGGGCACTCCCCCTCTACCTCCCGGGTCCCAGCACTGTGCAACATGGAAACCTGCCTTCCCCCTGCCCCAGGTCTGTACTCTGTAAGACAGTGCCCAGTGCCAGACTGCCTCATTCTGGGCAAGTCCTTGGATGCCTGGTGCTATGCAAACCAGCTGAGCTTAATAAGATAAAAGAGAAGGGCCTGGGTTCTCCCCTCCCCAGCAGAACACTCAGCTCCAGCCCCACCTTCACACAGCCTCCAGCTTCCCTTCACAGCTGCCTGAAATACAGACCCATCTCCTGCTCCTGTATTGTTTGGAAGGGCTGCTGAGTTGAGCAATGTGCAAAGCACAGAGAAGCTGAAGCCTGGAATACACACGGATGAGGGTGGCTCTGAGCCTGGCCCATGATCACTGTCATGGGCATCCAGGAGGGAAGGAGGTCAGAAAAACGTGAAGTTGGTAAACAAGGCTCCCTTCTAGGTACCAGACTACCAAGCGTTGACCCTGAGATGTTGCAGAGTCACTTGGAAGAACTGGATGTGTTTAAGTCGGCAGGCCCAGATGAGCTCCATCCGAGGGTACTGAAGGTACAGGCTGATGTCATTGCACAGTCGCTAGCAAGAATATTTGAACGCTTGTGGCGCATGGGCCAGGTCCCGGAGGACTGCAAAAGGGCCAATGTGGTCCCTATTTTCAAGAAGGGGAGGAAGGAGGATCCAGGCAACTATAGGCCAGTCAGTCTCACCTCCATCTTTGGCAGTCTTCGAAAAGATTATTAAGGCTCATATATGCAAGAGCCCAGCAGGAAAAATTATGCTGAGGGGAAACCAGCACAGGTTCATAGCAGGTAGATTATGCCTGACTAATTTAGTTTCTTTTTACGACCAGGTTACAAAACACCTGGACCCAGGAGTAGGGGTTGATATCGTCTACTTAGACTTCAGGAAGGCCTTCAATATGGTATCCCACCCATTCTGGTGAACAAGTTAAGAGGCTGTGACTTGGATGATTACACAGTCCGGTGGGTGGCAAATTGGCTAGAGGGTCGAAGCCAGAGAGTGGTGGTGGACAGGTCGGTATCGACCTGGAAGGACATGGGCAG